CAAAGACAAGGGCATCCTGAGGGAGCCCCAAGACAAGAAGGCACTCATGGGTCAGGATGAGACCGCATATTGTGAATACCACCAGAGGGTCGGCCACCTCACCGACAACTGCAGGCAACTGAGAACGGCCATCGACGAGCTGATCCGGCAAGGCTACCTGGGCGAGTTCACCCAGCTGCTAAAGAAGAATAGCCCGAGGCAGCCGAACCCGAGATCACGATCATGGCGCCGCGACGACCAGCGCGAGGCGGAACCTAAGGACGTAGACTATCGGAGTGCTGATAAACGTCCGGAGGGGTCCCTCGGCCCGAACGGCGGAAAGAAGAAGTTGGAGATCAAAGTGATCTTCGGGGGCGCTGAGACTGGGGACACGCCTGCGGAACGGAAGAGGTTCGAAAGGTCCCTCTATGTGGGCTCTGTATCAGCACCCCCCGCTAAAAAGAACAAGGTAGAGGCCATCACCTTTGGACCAGCCGACCTACCGATGTCACCGGCCCCCCACAGGGATGAGCTGGTGATCAGCATGGATGTCAACAATGCGATCGTCCGACGCGTCCTTGTGGATACGGGCAGCAGCGTGAACGTCCTCTACTGGGAGGCATTCGAAGGGATGAAGCTGAGGAAGGATCAGCTGGCCCCCCTACGTACCCCTCTGTCGGGCTTCACGGGGGACTGCATCGATGCGGAGGGTACCATCGGCCTCCCCGTTGAGATCGGGGATGGTCCTCACACCACCCACATCCGGATGACATTCGTTGTGGTCCGCCTGAAATGTGCTCACAACGCAATTTTGGGCCGACCCGGCTTGGAGGATCTTGAGGCTATCTGCTCCGTGCGGCACTCATGCATCAAATTCCCCACCGAGACAGGGGTGGGAGTCGCCCGCACAGATCCGCACATGGCCAGGGCCTGCTACACTAAAGCCATGGAGAGGTTCAGGGAGCGAGAAGCCCGGGTCAACAGCATTACTGAGAAAACCAGGCAGGCTGACTGCGACGCTCGTCTGGAACCGGCTGCCCTGCTCGAGGAAGTGGAACTGGATGATCCCTCGGACAGGAAGGTGTCCATCGGCGCCGATCTCGAACCTAAGATCAAGGAGGGGGTCATAGCTGTCCTCCGGAAGTTCAAAGTCCTATTTGCCAGAGGGCCGGAGGACATGCCCGGGATAGACCCCAACCTCATCTGCCACAGACTCGCCGTACGGCCGGATGCCAAGCCCATACAGCAGAAGAAGAGATACATGGCAGCCGAACGGCGGGAGTTCATCAAAAAAGAGGCGGCTACGCTCCTCAACATCAGGCACATCCGGCCGGTCATCCACGTGGAGTGGTTGGCCAACGTAGTGTTAGCCCCGAAGGGCGACACGTGGCGGATGTGCGTTGACTATTCGGACCTCAACAAGGCCTGCCCGATGGATCCGTATCCAGTGCCGAGGATCGATTTGCTCGTAGATGAAACGGCGGGCTGCGAGCTGCTCAGCTTCATGGATGCATTCAGGGGCTACCACCAGGTGTTCATGCATCCTGATGATGCAGAGAAAACGGCGTTCGTCACGGCGGAGGGCGTGTACTGTTATGTGGTCATGCCGTTCGGTCTGAGGAATGCCATGGCCACCTTCCAGAGAATGATCGGGATGTTGTTCAAAGACGTACTAGGAAAAACAATGGAAGCTTACGTGGATGACATCCTGATCAAGAGCAAGAGGAAGGAGGACCACGTCCGGGATATGGAGAGGATCTTCACCATCATGGAGGAGGCTAGCATGAGACTAAATCCAAAGAAGTGTGCCTTTGCCGTCAAGGGCGGCAAGTTCCTCGGCTACATGATGAGTGAGCGGGGAATCGAGCCTAACCCGGAGAAGGTAAAGGCAATAGTTGACATGGAGGCCCCGAAGAACCTGAAGGACGTGCAGCGCCTCACCGGAAGACTGGCAGCCCTGAGCCGATTCATGTCAAAACTAGCAGATAAGGCCATTCCCTTCTTTCAGATCATGAAGAAGGCAAACCCCTTCGAGTGGACCCCAGAGTGCCAAGCCGCCTTCGAGGAGTTCAAAATATACCTCTCCTCTCCGCTCGTCCTCACCAAGGCGGACCCCGGGGAACAACTATACATGTACTTGGCAGTGGCAGACTTGGCTGTGAGTGCTGTGCTACTTAAGGAGGCGGAGGGCGTTCAGCGGCCAATCTATTTCGTGAGCAAGGCGCTGAATGGTCCGGAGACCAGATACACGCTGATGGAGAAGACGATCCTCGCCTTGATAGCATCTATCAAACGCCTGGCCCCGTACTTCCAGGCACACCCAGTGATCGTATACACGACACAGCCTCTCGCCACGATCCTCCGGAACCCCATGGCCAGCGGGAGGATAACCAAATGGTCCCTGATGATCGGCCAATACAACATTGAGTTCAAACCAAGGCCGACGATCAAGGGCCAGACGCTGGCAGACTTCATTGCCGAATGCACTGCGCGCACCGAGGACGATCCCCAAGGCGACAATGATTTCAACAGCTGGTGGGAAATGTACACTGATGGGGCCTCGAGTGCGAAGGGTTGTGGCGGGGGAGCGGTGATTACCTCACCTGAAGGTTTCAAGGCCTACTACTCCATGAAGTTTGAATTCAAAGTCACCAATAACGAGGCTGAATACGAGGCGCTAATTGCGGGACTGAAGTGTGCAAAGGCACTCGGCGCAGCTCGTCTCAAGGTAAGGATGGACAGTCAACTGGTGGTAACCCAGATGAATGGGACGGCCGAAACCAGGGAAGAAAGGATGAAGATCTACAAGGAGCTCGCGGAGGAACAAACCGCGCAGTTCGAACAGGTGATAATTGAGCAGGTATCGCGGGTGGAGAACGCCGAGGCTGATATATTATCCAAGCTAGGCAACCCCCCAAGCGATGACCCCACAACGAGCATCCCCCGGCACATCAAGGGCTTCGTCAGGCAGGAGACGCTCCTGACACCGGCGACGGACGTCATCCGGGTAGAAGCCATCTCCATCGCCGAACCTAATTGGTCGAAGGAGATCGCAGACTACCTCAGGGATGGGACGCTCCCCGAGCCTGAGGATGATGGCAGCACCGGACGAGCAGCATGGATAAAGAGGAGGGCCCCCAACTTCGAGCTCATTGATGGGCAGCTCTACAAGAAGACGTTCGGAGGGCCATACTTGAGGTGCCTCCCACCGAGCTTGGCAGCGGCTGTCATTGAGGAGATACATGAAGGCATCTGTTCCAGTCACCAAGGCCCTCGTACTTTGGCTCGGAAGATCATCTTGCAGGGGTATTACTGGCCGACCATCCAGCAGGACTGCTTCAACCACACTCGGAGGTGTGCGGTATGTCAGCAATATGCCCCTGTCCCCGGTCGACCGGCAAGCTTCTACACCCCGATGACGATTGCATTACCCTTCGCCAGATGGGGCATAGATCTACTGGGTCCTCTCCCGACGACGACCGGCGGAAGGAAGTTTGTTATTGTGGCGATTGACTACTTCACCAAGTGGGTAGAAGCCGAGCCGCTGGCCTCCATCACCGAATATCAATGTCAGAGGTTCCTCTGGCAGAGTATTATATGCCGCTTTGGGATTCCAGAACAGGTCATCACCGACAATGGCCGGCAGTTCGTCGGCAGAGGATTTGAGGCATACCTGGCGAAGTGGGGCATCAGGCACTCCAAGGCCTCGGTGGCCTACCCGCAGGCCAACGGCCAGGTGGAAAACATGAACAGGACCATCATGGATGGAATTAAAAAGAAATTGGAAGATTACGCATCCACCTGGCCGGAGCAGCTCAATTACGTGCTCTGGACGTACAGAACAACCCCACGGACGGCAACCGGCGAGACACCTTTTGCTTTGGCGTACGGATTCCAGGCCAAAGTACCAACAGAGGTGCTGGTGCCCACGCATCGCACGAAACACTTCCAACCAAAAGACAACGAGGCAAACCTACGGGCGGAACTCCATTTCATTGAGGAGCGAAGAGACCTAGCAGCTCGTCGCATGGAGGAATATCACCGAGCCACCCAAAGATACTTCAACAAGGCGGTGAAGATCCGCGAGATTGAAGCAGGGGACCTCGTACTCAGAAAAAGGGAGAAGAGCAGGCCGCTCGAAGGAGGCAAAATGGCCAAAAACTGGGAGGGGCCGTACAGGGTCATGAGAAGATACAACCAGGGGACGTTCCTTCTCCACACATTGGAGGGGAACCACGCTGGAATTTGGAATGTCGAACACTTGAAGAAGTTCTACCAATAATTAGAGATAGATCGTTGTAATATTTTGGTCGAAGTACCATGTAACACCACCTATCGTCATCTCTATATTAAAAGGATTATTTCTGTTCTTCACTTCCTACAGGGAGATTAAAAGCCGAAGTGCTGTTGAAATGATTTCCTCCTCAAAAAAAAAAAAAAAAAAAAAAAAAAAAAAAAAAAAAAAAAAAAAAAAAAAAAAAAAAAAAAAAAAAAAAAAAAAAAGAGAGAGAGGAGAAGGGGAGAAAGAAGCTCCTAGGAGAGAGGGAGTCTTGACGAGGTATGCCTGATCTTCCTTCACCACGTGACGAACGTCTCCCGACGCGGAGGTCAGTAGGAACGTGGGGGGGGCTGGACGTACCAAAGGGAACCTCGGCAGGATAAACCAGTTCCCCCATGGCCCGTAGGCCGGTGAACACCTTTCTGCCGAAGCAGAAGGTTAGTAGGGCCACGGATATGGGGCGACGAAGCAGGGAATCCCGACGTGGATAAACCAGTGACCTCCTTGCGATCGTTGGATGACCGAACGTCTTCTTCGAGGAAAGAAGATTAGTAGGACCACGACAAGGACGAACGAAGCCTAGTTCTTCCCCCTGATGAGCGCGTGACGAAAGCCTTCTGCGAAGCCAGAAGGCTAGTAGTTCGCGGCTGGGGACGAATGGAGATAGGGAATCCCGACGTGGATAAACCTGCTCTTTCTCGAGGCGGGGATGGCGAACGTCTCCTACGAAACCAGGAGACAAGTACCCACGAAGCTAGAGAAGGACAAAGACTGATGAAAAGACTCCAAAAAAAAAAAAAAAAAAAAAAAAAAAAAAAAAAAAAAAAAAAAAAAAAAAAAAAAAAAAAAAAAAAAAAAAAAAAAAAAAAAAAAAAAAAAAAAAAAAAAAGAGAGATACGGAGACATGGAGCAAATAATGATTTTTATTCTTCGGCACTGATGACCGGAAAGTACAATGTGTAATGAAAATTACAGTGTAAATAATTGTGAAGTACAGACTATGAGCGGAGAGTTAAGTTTGGCCGGCGTCAGGAGTTGGGGCCGAAAAGGGGACCTGCCTGGTTTTTTCCCTGGCCTCAGCTTCTTCGCGCTCCTTACGCTCCCTCAGCAGTTCAAGGGCCCCCTTATGGGCGTCCACCATCAGGGAATCAAAGCCAGCTGCCGCAGGATCAAAAGGGGCCCCAAAGTGACGCTCAAAGACAGGAAGGTTCTCTGCCACAAGGCCGACCATACCCTTGAGATAAGTATCGTCGGCAAGATCATCAAGGAAGCGCTCCCCAGTGGGGGTGGCCTGAAGCAGCTTGATACCATCTAGATAAGGGTCCGGGCAGGTGGCCAAGAACTCGCCGACGAACCTCGGAAGGAATTTCCTGGCCATGGTCTGGATGGCACCGGTGTAGGCTTTGGACTTCTGGAACTCGATGGAACCAGACTCCTTGATCTTCGAAACATCGGCTTCATAGATGGGGACATGATTATCCACACCCGTACGGCGGATCCCCACCTTAGCCTGTTCCACAGCCCACAGCCGGCTGCGAAGATCTACAAGCTCGGCCTCCTGCTTCCGAAGGAGTTCCTTCTGGGAAGCGTTCTCCTGGACGAGCTTATCATAGGCGTCAGCCTTCTCTTGGAGCGTCCCAGCCCTGCCTTTGGCATTCTTCAGAAGGGCGTCGCATTCAGCCCGCACCCGGGCCATTTCCCTGCCTTGACTCTCAAAGGCCATCCGAGCCCGGTGGAAATATAACCCGGCCTTGTCAAGAGTGCTCTGCCCACACTCCAGGAGATCCTCAGGAGCTTCCTGGGCGGCGAAATCCTGGGGGACCTTGAGGTTAAGGCCACACCAGATTGAAGATGCGGTCTGGCCGAAGAGCATCATCGATTCCTTACGAGGGCCAACCCCCGAGAATTCGATAAGGCCAAGGGAGGACCCGTTGGTTTCTGGGGGCGAAGGGGGACGAGCATCGTCAGAACCCTTGGAAGCAGGGACATCTTCATCCCTAAGTCGACGGACCTCAGAATTGGCCGGAGGGGAGACAGGGGGCTTGTTCCGGGAGGAGGGCCTCCGCTTCAGGGGACTCCCCGGCTCACCGTCGGAGTCATCAGCCACTATGATGGCTTTGGAGGCGGTACCATCAATGCGGAGCCTCTTCGAAGCCCCGTCCTCTGGTGCGTCATCTGACCGCCTCCTGCTCGTCCGAGGCTCAATTTTGGGGACGAGCGGCTTCCTGCCCTTATCCTCATGCCTGTTGTCGCGGCCACGGGCATGCGAAGTAATATGATTGCGCCCCATGGATGATATAGTTGGGAATACTCCTGCAGGAAGAAAATCAAGACGTTCAGAATCGTAACAACTAGAAGATGACAGGACAATGCAAGTACAAATAGACGCACCTAGCCCGGCCCGGGCCTTGAAAGGCTCGGCCACCAGCGACCGGAGGTTCTGAACGCCAAGACCAGCTATGCGCTTGGCATAGCCGAGCTCCTCATCCGTCATGGGCGGCGGGATGGACTTCACCGGATAGGCGTTCCACCTATCGGAGAATGGCATCGGGGAGCCCACTTCGGCAAGGAAGAACCGCTCCTCCCAGCCGTCCGGATTCCCGGCATTGTTAGAAAACAGGACCATGGACGGACGCGCGATCAGGGTTAAATACCCCGTACGTCCGAAAGGAGATAGCCGGAAGAAATGTTGCAGCAGGTCCACGGTGGGGGTCACGCGATAATCCTATAAGCAGCAGGGACGAACTGAGCGGGTGTCACCCGGAGGTCCCTAAAAAGCTCTATGTGGAAGCTGTGGAGGGGAAACAGGAGGCCGGCTATGACAGAGTCCAAGTGGACCACCACGTAGCCGGGCAAATGGCGCATTGGGTTGCGCAGAATCCGATCGTCGTAACCCCTTGGGGGAAGGAACCATTGGCTTATCAACCGACGATCGGCGTTCAAGAGACGCTGGCGCTGGCGACGAACGCAAGAGAAATTCAGGTGATGACGGGGGGGCCACGGTGGCATACCCCGCTCATAGAACTCTAGGTCATCACCAGAGGAGCACCCATCGTCAAACCTATCAATAGTTTGGGACCCTGATATGGACAGAGACATGACGACGTTCGGTACCTACAGATGCTGAAGTCGGAAGCGATACCAAAGGAAGCTAGAGAGAGGAAATGATTGTGCAGCACAAGAGCGAGAAATGGAGCAAATGGAGGTTTCACAAGGCCTTGGGTACTTATAGGCAGCACCGCGAGGCTGCGCCAATCACGGTGGAACACGTGGCATCCGGATACCGGTACCCACCGCGGTATTGAAGGCTCCTCGATGTTATCACCTCACAGTCACTGCGAATTAATCTGGCTTGATGCCACGAACGTCCCCCGAAGGGGCAAACAGAGGACGAACCTGCAAGCCAAATTCACAGGAAGACGTATGTGTGTGCCTGAAGGTCCCATGTTCACATCAGACGCACGTCCGAGACGGGTACCTGGCTTAAGCGCAGGCGCAAAAGGGTACGCTACTCCGGAAGCGGCGATCTCCCCCATTAAGCACAGACGCATCCGACGAGCGTCTTCGCCAACTCTGGCCCGGGGGGTTACGGCCGCAACCCGCGCATCTTGGGGAGTGGTTTACATATGTGATGCTCCCAAAGCATACGCTCATACCCCGATGGATCGAGGAACAGGAATGGAGTGTGGACGTGAGCGACCCCACGGACGGTTACGCAAACAGCCAAGAGACGGGCGTCTTCACCAACTGATTCGAAAGAACTGCCGCATCTTCGCACGTCTTCCTTCTGACGAACGGATTTGGGGATGGAATATATGTGGGGTGCTCTCAGGCATACGTTCGTATCCCGAGGAAAGTTATGGACATGAACATCCCCGAGGAAAAACGAAAAACTACCAACGAAGAAAGGAGATAAAAAGAGTTCACGAGCGTAGAGACAATGATAAGGCAAAAAAGAGTTGTATATTCTTCGGCTCTACTGGCCGGATAAGTACAGGATCAAAACAAATAAACTACGAGCTACACTACACAAAATTTGGAGAAATGGGCCGGGATCCCCCAGGGATGGTTTCCTCTTCCTCCTCAGGTTCGGGCTCGGGGGACGGGGGCTCTGGGACCTCCCCCCTGGCCCTGGCCTCCTCCCGCCGGGCGTCCCGTCTCAGCTTGCCCACGGCCCGGATCAGCTCTGGGTCTGAGGTATGCTCGGCCAGATCAAATCGGGGGCCCTGAAGAGCGGTAAAGACCGGCAATGTGGCTTTCACCCCCTCGTTGAAGCCAATGACGAAGGAGCTATCCCCGACATCATACAGGAACTTCTCGGCCAGGGGCGCACTCTCCAGGATTCGGACCCCGAATTTGAGGCGGTCCTTGGGCGCCTGCTTTTGCAGCTCGGCAGCGAAGACATCACCAAAGGCGCCCCCAAGGTACCTCTGGGCGGCAATCATGAAGGCCCCGGAGTTGTGGTACCCAGAATCGTCGACGAGCCATTCAGGGTTTTCGTCTTTGGGGGCAGGGAGAGCTGGGACGAGCTTGAACCCGGCCTTCTCGAGGACCGCGAGCTTCGCGGAGGACTCACGAGCTGCCTTCAGGGCGGCCTGCAATTCTTTATCCTTGGCCGCAAGCTCCTTTTCCTGAAGACGAGCGGCCTCTCTCGCCTTCTTCAGAGCAGCATCTGCCTTGGTCTTCGCCTGGAGGACCTCGGCATCTCGGGCAGCCTCAGACTGCAGAACGGAGAGCCCGACCTACAAATCGGATGCGGGAGGTGAGACTTCAAAACATTAGAATAAAAGTGATCAGGCAACACGCGCGGAGCGAGATCTTACCTGAAGAGCGGCGGCCAGGGCCGCATTGGAGGCTTCCGAAGACGTGCGGGGAGGCATCTCCACGCCGGCCAGAGAGGCAACCTCCTGCCAAACGTCATGCGCCGGACGTCCGAGAGAGGGGAGGATCACCCCTTGCCCTTCAAGGGCCGAAGAACCAGTTCCCCTGGGCCTTTTGGACTTTTTGTCCGCTTTCTCCCCCTCCTGGGGATGGACGGCCTGCAGGGGCGCCACAACCTCGGGGACGCCAGAATCAAGGACTGGGGCCTGGGACCCTTGTGCCAACACCGTGGCAATGAGGTGCTGCTCCGCCTCCACGGTGCGACGATCGGCCTGGGAGGCGGAAGAGTTGGAGTCAGCTGCCTGGACGGTTTTGGCCTTGGCAAGGGCAGCGTCGGCCGCGGCGCCCTTCCCCTTCCGATTCTTGAGGAGTTTTTCGTGATTCATCTGCTCCTGGGTTGGGGGAAGACCTGAAAAAGACAAAGGAAATGGGTTAGATGGACGAACGTCAGTAAAAAATCACCTCGGAGGAGAGGACCGCCCAATACCCCGAGACGAGCGTAGAAGGGGAGATGTCCAAGAGCATGGGCGGTACCTATTCCTGCCGCGGCGAGCGCCTCGAAGGTTAAGAAGTCGTCTAAGGGGCGGATGCCGCCCGTCGAGATCTTTTTGATGTCCTCCTGCAGATCGTTGGTCAGCTCCGGAGATCCAATCTTGGGCGGATAGCCATTCCAACGCAACGGCAGACGAGCATCCGCGTACCGCACGAAGAAAAACCGATTCTTCCAGTCGTGGATGGAGCTCGGTGCTCCGCTGAACAACCTCCGTTTCGGACGAGCAGCAATGCTCAGGAAGCCGTCAGAATTTTGGGGGGTGAGCCGGTAGAAATAATGGAACAAGTCCAGAGTGGCGGTGACCCCGTGGTCCTTGCAACGGACTAGGAAGGCGGAGAGCCACCGATAGGAATTCGGCATGAGTTGAGCGGGGGCTATCTGGTAACAACAGAAGAATTCCACGAAGAACGGATGAAGAGGGAAGCGCAGCCCAGCCTCGATGGAATCCAGAAGCACCATAATCATCCCTGGGCGTCTCCTCATCACGTGGGTTGCACCACGTAGGCTGTATACGGACGGAGGGGGGAAGAACACCTTCAGTTTGTTGAGGGCCACCGGCGAGAAGATCTGCTCATGGCACAAGACATTCTTGATCGGGCACAGATGCCTCTCCACATCTATCTTCAGCCCAAGTTCGAATACTTCGATGTCGGAGCCATCCTGAGCCTCAACCCCAGAGTCATACCCGTCTGGACGCTCGTCCTCACCAGCGGGCTCCTGTTCCCCGGCTTCAGCCACAGGATCCACAACATCGAGGGCCATATTCCCTTGCCCCCCCAAGTCGGCACCTTCTTCACCAGGAACCACCACAGCAACCACATCTTGGGCATCCCCGGCCTGGACCGTTCCCACGGTAGAGGCTGAACCGGAACTCCCGGAAGTGCTAGTCTCACCCGAAGAGCGTGAACCGGAGTCAGAGGAGGAGCCCGAAGAAGAACCCGATGAACCCGAAGAAGAACCCGATGAACCCGAACCAGAACTCGATGAGATCTCCATCGAAACCATCTCGGCAAGAATTCAAGACAAAGGAAAGAAGCAGGGGGTGGAAATTACCTTAGCAAGGAGTTAGCCGAGCTTGGATTCAGGAAACTTGAAGAGCTGCAGAAAATCGAGAGCAAGAAAGCAGAAATTGGGAACCCTAATTCAGAGGGAAAACCCAGCATTTATAGGAGAAACACCGATGAAGAAACGAATGAGGGGCTGACACGTGGCAAGGAGCGTATTCCGGCCCACGCGCTGTGCGTGGGATGGAAACGTAATGATGACACTTCCTCGGGAAAATGCGCCGCCGCAACATCAGCCGTCACCTCGTTTCCTGGACCGTCAACGGCTGTCAAGCACCATGACCACGAACGCACGCTTCCACCAGGTGCAATAAACACAAGTACCAAGATACGGACGTCCACTTCGGGGAGGTTCATACTTCCTTATGTCCTGCGCATGCTCAGAACATCAGAAGTGGGGGACTTGTGTTGGGTTAAGGGCCCAAGCCGAGGTCCGGCCCACTAACCCATTTTGCTAGACGAACATCCAGTTAGAACACTAGGCCAACCCACGGGCCCATGTTCCCTGAGGATGGACGAACGTCTGGTGTTGGGGGACTCAGGCCCAGCAGCTCATCCCGACGAACGTATATGCAGGGACAAGGAGCAGAACCACGGGCCACCAGGGATGGCGACGAACGTCCCCACTACAAGCCTGTAGTCATCGGGGAAACCCAGTCCGCATGACGAATACCATCCAAGGCCAGGAGACGAACAGCCGATATCTCTCAAGGGTACACTTGGAGCAATCCAACTCACTTCCCGGGTTGATGAACGTCCCCACTAATCCGGCGGGAAACCTAGATTCTGGCGGGAAGTGCATTTAATGCTAAAGATTTGGTAGTTGGGACACCAGCGGTCCACAGGCTGCCACGTCACTACAGCCACCTGCCCATTGGCGGGTATAAATAGAAGCATTTATTTCATTGTAAGGGGTTGGCAACTTTCTATTCTTAGCACTAGCTATAGCATCCTTACTCGCAGCACTTCTACTGCCTTGTAAGACGAACGGCCGACGGAGCCCTTAGCAAGAAGTATTGTATTAGGGAGTTATTAAGAGATAATAATACCGAACCATTTACTTGCTACTTCTTGTTCTCTATAGTTCATATCATCTGCTTGTTGGGTTAGATATCATACACTCACTCCACTCGAAATCTTTGGGCTTACGTGTTGGGTCCAAGGGTTGAAGGAATAAACCTCAACACATACGAAGTATTTAAGAGGTATATTAAACGTTTATAGAGTCACATCTTTTGTAGCTTGGCATCTTTTCAAATAGTTCTAGAAGATAAATCATCTTAATTTACAAATGAACCGAAAGTAGCTTGACAGTTGTTCAGCTTGTTCTGAAGTTTGTTTTTAATGAATTATAGGGGGTGTTTGGATCTGATTCTTAAAATTGTTTATGTTCATTCAGAGAGCAGAAGCAGAAGCTAGAGTGTTTGGATGAAAGTGCAGAAGTGATTCTGGGGCTCTAATTTACTCCTAGAATCAGTTTTTTAGAAGCTAGGGGAGACTAGTTTCTGAAAACTGATTATAATTCTGCTTCTGATTTAAAAAAGAAGCAGAACCATAATCAGTTCCAAACACCCCATAATAGCAATAGTAATTATTACTCCTTGTAACAGTATGGGCAGAAACGAAAAAATAAAAGCAACATGTGCTTCCCTAAAATGTTGTCTTTTCTTCACCTTTAAATTATATAACCAAAAACAATGTTTAAGAAACCGGACCAAACTGTCACCATGAGGTGCAAGAGAGTTTAAGGTTTGGAAGCAACATTTTAATTATATTGTTTGCTTGCTATTTATTTTTCATGACCAAAATGCTTATTTTTTTGTTGTTTACTTTTTTTGCTGTAAGACTCTTGCATTAGGATTGGGTGATGAGAGTCCTACTTTAACCGTCGTTGGCTCATTTATGCCCAATATAGGATTATCGAGTCATATTGTTTTTTTGAAGGTGATTGACTCTAAGTCTGGTTCGAGGGCTGACGGTTGCCTATGGTCCTTATGTCATTTTACCCCCTATCTAAATGCTGTGATATAAATTTAAGCCCACTTCTTCAAAAAAAAGGAAACCGGACCAAACCATGACCTGTTTTAAGTACCGGGTCACGGGTTAACCGGTTCAACCCACGGGTCAGGTCAATCAAGTTGATCATATACTGAGTTAGAGCTCGTTTGGTGATTCTGTTTTTCGCTTTATCAGGCTTATCCGCCAACTTTTTAACCAAACACGTAACTTTTGATTTCGCACGCTGAATTGTGTAATAATAAGAAAAAGTAAGGTTGAAGTTACTTTTCTGACTGTATTGGCTGAAGTTACTGTAGATGATCATTTTAGCTATTTTACATGTAATTTTTTCTTTATTTTATTAATAAAATATATTTAAAACTTAAAACATCAACTTAAAACTTCATAACCTTCATAAATTAATCTAGCCAGCCACCCCCATAACCCGGCCACTTTGAAACTCTTCATTCTCCCAGCCCACAGTAGTAGTATAGTACTACCCACCCACTCCTCACCTCTTCTCCCATCCTATCGTCTTCTTCATTTATATTCCTTTTAAAAATCAAAATAAAAAATAGAGTTTCAATCGGAAATCCTTAGGACTCCTCAACCTCAATCTACACTTTGCTTGTTACTTTTGGTTCGAAATTAAAAGCATCTAAGCAAAATGGACATCTCCTTCGTCCTGTTCATCTTCTACAACAATTTCTGTATGTTTATCTCTAATCCCTGATATCTGCAAAGGTGCTGGTGGGAGGGGTTCGTAGTTTAGATCCACAGCAATAGATTAGGAAAAGAAAACCATATATGTATTGACTGATTCTGCCGGAGCTTGACCGGTTTTACAGGCTTTAGATCGGTTTACCGGATTTTGACCACTTTTCGCTGGATTTTGATTGGTTCTGCCGAGTTTTAGCACCTTTTTTTCGTCTGCCACCGTACACTACTCTCGTATCATAGGCTCATAGCCTTTTCTGTCATCTGCCACCGTACCCATATATTCAATTCTTAAAAAAAATGGCCCAATAACCTACGGATAATTGTATACCATTAGAAGTGAGTGCTCCACCCCAATAACCTACGGATAATTGTATATGATTGGCCCACCTTTGCCTCTATTTGATGTGACACTTTTGAGCGGGAAATATGGCTTGTTTTCCACATTTTTTTATATAGAGATAGATAATAAAAAAATAAAATAAACTAACATGTGATGACTGTTAATTGTATTTGGGGATAATTTTCTTAACGTATGCTTCGGGAGAAATATCTTTTAAGGAGGGTAGAATGTGACACTCCTTATCTTTAATAAACAAAATTTAATACTAACTAAGATGTTAATTTTATTTGTAGATATTTTTTCAAAGCTTATGTTTCGAGACGAAACATCTTTTAAGGAGGGTAGAATGTGATACCCCGATAAATTAAAATAAAATAAATAATTTTATTAGTCAGATAAAATGTTGCGAAAGTGACAATTTAATAATTAAGTGAATCAGCTAAAATTTTAACATCTGTGACATTTTTAATCAGATAAAAATGGTTCAATAATAAAAGTGACATTTTAATTTAAAAGATGAGTAAATAAAATGTGTACAAAAACACCCTACAAAAATAACAGTTTTGAAAATTGAAAGAGTTGACTTTAAAGCCTAATTATATACGGAGTACTCCGCCTAACATTAATATGCTTGCGATGGCAATAATATATCAAGTACATATCATAATAATAATAATAACAATAACCAAGTATGAGCATAGTACCAATAATACACACATGGTAGCCATATATGCCTTACACTTATGCAGGTCGGAGATGTCAACAAATATGGCCAAAAAGAAATACATCATGCATTAATCCATATCTTTACAAATCATATACTCCCACATGGGATGCCATATAGTCAACCAATCTCTCACAATAATTTTTCTAGCTCCATAATAATTTTACTACTATCAGCAACACTTCAATCACACACGCATGCATAATTGCATGTAAACAAAATTAGAATACTACTGCACAATAGTACAACGCTGGCCGTCCACACAATCATCGGATAAGCTCAAACTATGAACTACAACCTCCAGAATACCTGTATAAATACTAGCCTCAAATCTGAAAGTTCTTTCATTCACAACCCAGCATTCGAAATACTATCGTATATACATATACGTATATACTACTATATATACTAAAAACACAGCCCTTCGTTTCAGCTTAAAACTAGAGCAAACACCATTAAAACCTTTTCCTCCGTTAGAGGAATCCAACAAAAGAAGAATCATTAAAAACGATCGTCAAACGAGGGGGAACAAGCTCGCCGGATTTTCGCCGGGCTAACCGTAAAGACGGAAAACGGGGAAGAAGGAGGAGCTGCCGCTGCCGCCAACCCATCACTGACCTTCGCCATCCCAGAGGGAGTGCACCGCTGCCACTGTTTCACGCATCCGTTGAGGTAAGCTTCCCATGCGTTTACCTGCGTTTCTGCGGCGTACCAACGAAGAAGACAACTTAGTTTATCTTCTTCACTCACGGCTGAGTTTTAATGAACGGGTTGGACTTTCTTTAACATCTAAAACTAATTTTTGTTTCCTTTTCTTTGTTTTGTTTTCTGCACTTTATTTGTGCAGGTAATGATGACTATGTTGATTGATGATTGCATGCGCCTGAGAGCGGATTAGAGATGCCTTAAGAAAACTTAGTCAAGAATAAACATTTTAATTATGCCAAATATTTGTTTTACTTTGTTTTGTTTTGGGATTGCATGTGCATTCGGTTAAGAGATGACCGGATGTGGCGGTAACACCCATTTCCCTATTAAGACTTCCGCTGTAATTTTCAAACGATTTTATCAACAAGTAAAAGTTGTATTGCAAATATATCAATATTTTGGGAGGGAAAATGGGGTGTTACAAATTGGGTACTCACGCCATCTCTCCAAACCTGCAGTCTACAGGTGGCAGCGAGTTTACTTCCACCAATGGCTCGGTTAGCGGGCTGAATACATTAAGCAAAGAGCAGGTTGAGGCGCTTTTGATTTTACTTAATATTGACACTGCTCGGGTGATCGTATGTCAGGTATATCATCGTCTTTACCTTGGATACTTGATACCGGGGCATCTCACCATGTGACAGGTGAATTATCATGTCTTAAAAACCATACTCACATTCGGCCGTGTCTAGTCGGCTTGCCTGATGGCCGAACCGTTGCAGCCGTGGTGGCGGGATGAGTTCAACTTTCCACAACCTTAGCACTTGATAAAGTGCTTTATGTACCCGGATTGAATTGTCACCTTATATCTATTTCTCAATTGATTGATCAGTTAGCTTGCCATGTAATTTTCACTAATTTATTTTGTGCTATTCTGGACCCACGCTCGAGGAGCCTAATTGGAGCAGGTGAAAGGCAAGATGGGCTTTATTTTTTCCGTGACGTACCCGTGCTGCATGCGGTTCACAAGTTGGTTCTGTTAGAATTTGAATTATGGCAATGTCGATTGGGGCATCCGTCAGACCGTGTACTCAAACTTTTACCTCATGTTGTTACTAGTTGTTCTAAGAAAACTCTGAATAAAACCTGTGAAGTGTGTCTGCAGG